ATACAGTTGTCCCTTGATAATCCGACAGGTATGGGACCAAAGGTGTGTCAGATTACCAAAAGTGTCCGGATTACTGAAAATAATTACATATTTCGCATTGTTTTGCTAGCAGTAACTTACAATATTCTCTACTCCAACTGTTCGAACAGAACTGCACACATAAAACGCACGAAATGTGTGTCATCGAGTAAGAATTGGATGGGGAGATTCACATCGTGACATGCTTCTGTGCAAGTAGACACGTAACGGGGACGGGTACCTTGACGGGAGGTGCGTCGGACTACTGAGCATGTCGGACTATAGAGGGACAACTGTAATTTTTTAAACAGACAATAACTCTACAGACAAGAAATTTATTCCTACAGAATGTTTCAAAAAGAGTCATATTGGAAGGATTTATTTAGCATGGTGTTGTATGATTTTAGTCATTTTTCACTGCATAATATAGAATAATTAATGTAATGCAAATATTTGGAAGAGCTGAAAGACCACAATTTGATAAGTATGGAGAAGGAACTATTATAACATCTTATGATAAATTGAATCATCATTTTTCTCTTCTTACCAGTCAATTGCCAGTAGAAAGTAAATTTAATGATAAAATAATTTAAATGCAGAGGTTATGATTTTTGTTCATGCCAGGAATGCTACTGTTTGGACAGCAATGGTTCTTAAAGATATAGCTCAACATATTATTCATTTACTTTTTTTGGGAGGAAAAAATATTAAAAATTTTATTTTTTTAGGTTATGGTTTTTGTTCATGCCAGGAATGCTACTGTTCGGACAGCAATGGTTCTTAAAGATATAGCTCAACAGAAAAATCAGTTATATTTATTTCAAGCTGAACAAAATGTGCAATATTTTGCTGCAGACAAGCAGGTAATTTATTAAAACAAATACTTTTGTATTTTTAAAATACATGTAAAAATATCAATGTCGATACTGATCTAGAATATATTTTTATATGAAACATTAAATGTTAGTAATCTGTTCTATGAAATGAATTAAGCAATAAATGAAAGCACATTATAGAACTTTCAATTTTGATATACTGTATTGTCTACATCAGGGGTGGCAAACCTATGGCTTACATGCCCAAAGTGGCACATAAGGAGAAATCATCTGGCACATAACATATCATACATTTTCGATTCAATCATCCTTTTGGTTTATCACCTGATCATCCTTTTTTAAACAGTTTTTTACACTTATTGTAATTAAAGCATATTCATTTAATTTATTTAAATATAGCTATTAGGAGTGTAAAACTTTGGCAGGCATAAACATCTTTAAAGCTAAGTTTGCTTACAATATGGCATGTAGGCTCAAAAAGGTTAACCATCCCTGGTCTATATAATAATATATTTTTTTATAGAAAGGTGAATAAAACAAAATTATAATTTCATTTTTTTGGTTATTTTGATAAGATGTCAAGCAAATAGAATAAAATTAATTTTTTGCTTGAAGTATGGAATTTATTTTTTAATAAATAAAATATAAAATCTATGAGTTTTAACTCTGTAATTCTTTATTATCAGGTGAAGTAAGTATTTCAAATAGCCAAACAAATGATTTATGCCAATCCAAAATGCATATGTAGAAGAGAAAATTGATTAATAAATTGTATGTTGTTAAACCAATGGATATTCATTTAACTGTTTGAAGTACCACATCTGATAATAAAGGATTATAGAGTTATAACTCATAAGAATACATCTACCCTATAACAAAGGATATAAAATCTAGTACAGTAGAACCTCGATTATCCGGATTTTCGATTATCCAGATTGTTCAAAATAAACAAAAATTTTACGAATTTGCTGATTTGCACTTGGCGAATTACGATAGTGTTTATGTACTTGATGGAATGCATAACTTTTTTTGTTTCAACGTCTCACCCGGAACAGTGGCCGTAAACTCTTAAATATATTTTACGTAGTAATAAAAATATAACTTGACATACTTATTTATAAATAATTTATATTCAAATTACATCATTTCTATGACCAAGGGCGGCGTAAGGCATGGGCGACGTGGGCCACCGCCT